AGAGAGAGAGAGAGAGATTTTAGTAGATAACGTCGAGAAACGAAGGTTGGGCGGTTTAATGGTAGGAAGCCACAGTACCAGTCGGGTTTGAGGCAAAAGCAGGACAAAGGAATATTGGTCAAACCCTACACAGAAACCCTAAAGCGACTTTTACTTTCTATTCTCCAACGCAAGGTAACAGTCCTTTGACTTTTGATTCCCTTTCAATTGCACTGATTCATCCCGAATTATTTCTCTCTTCTCCCTTCTATCTTTTCTTGTTTGATTCGAGTTTTGTGATTCCAGGGTTTTTCACAGAAAACCCTAACTCTATTGTTTGGTTGTCCCGTTGTGCATCCAATCTTAAGGGCGCGAATTAGGGTTTCTTTGTTCTGGACTTGGTTTCTCTCAGAAAACCCTAAATCTGTTATATTGGTATTTCGCCTTGGTTCTAAAGAGTTGCAAATTGTCTATCACTGTATAATGATAGAGTTCTTTCACTGTATAATGATAGCGTTCTTTCTTGGGTTTCACACTAAACTAGTAACGAGAAAATTCTTTAATGAATTCTTTGGTTTCTTTTTTCTTTTTTGTTGTTTATTGATATTCAAAGAACATTAAGTTGTTATCAAGTAAGAAGTTTCTTTTGATTTTTTTGTTGCGAGAACATTAGGTTTTTTTTCATGAGGAGTATTATTTTGACTGTGGACCAAGAAGTAGCTCATACTCTCTCTCTGACTAATCTGTACTGCAATTTTTTTTTTCTCTCTCAGAAATTGTGCCTCGAATATCAGGGTTTACCGCAACCGGTCTTCTTTTCCCATTTCCTTTGCCCTGGCGATTTCGATTTTATGGCTTCTGCTCCTTTAATTGGAGGTGATGATTCTCGGGAAAGGCATAGATGGGGAGAGAGTAAGGTTTACATGAGAAAGGCTCACAATAAGGGGACCAAGGCTGCACCCGCTCAAGCTACCAACACAGAAGATGGCAACTCTTCACACTTAGCCTCTTCTCGATTCGAAGCTGCTTCTGATGATTCATCGAGCCTCAATAGAAAGCAAGTGAGCATAAACCGAGATGCCTCAACTAATGGTTCCTTAAATCCCCTTTCTGGATTGCCCAAGTCTGACAACAATCGGGTTAGGATTAACCTCTCTTCCAGATCGAAGCATGAGATGCGAGAGCTTCGTCGGAAACTCACAAGTGAGTTGGACCAAGTGAGAAGCTTATTCAGGAAACTGGAGGCTAGAGAGATGCAACTTAGAGGGTTCTCAGGTGTTAATAATAATAATTCAGTTTATAGCCCTTCTCAACTTTCGGTTAATGAAAATGTGAATAATGGAGTGAGGAGGGTGAATTCAGAGGTGGGTTCAGGTGGTGTGATCCATCGTCAATTGAGTATTTCCGTAATGGAGAATAGTCAGTGTGGAAGTGACCTCAATGAGAAGGAGAAGAGAACCCCTAAGGCCAACCAGTATTATAGGAACACTGATTTCTTTTTGGGAAAGGATAAATTGCCCCCTCCTGATAATAGCAAGAAGTCGAAATCTCATGGTAGCAAGAAACTGAGTAATGCAAAGCCATATCTCTCAGAAATTAACATTGGGCATGGAAGTGACAGCTTTGGTGATAAGAATGTGGTTCAGGCGTTCAAGCAATGCAGTTCTTTGCTCGCGAAACTGATGAAGCACAAGCATGCGTGGGTTTTTAATACCCCGGTTGATGTGAAAGGGCTTGGGCTTCATGATTATTATGCGATAATTAAGCACCCAATGGATTTGGGAACAGTGAAATCAAAGCTAAACAAGAACTGGTATAAGTCACCCGCTGAATTTTCCGAGGATGTAAGACTAACGTTTCGGAATGCTATGGCATATAATCCTGAAGGTCATGATGTGCATATCATGGCTGAGCAATTGTTGAAGGTATTTGAAGATGGTTGGAAGGTCATCGAGTCGGATTACCTTGTTGAGAGGCCAAATGCCAGGTTTGAATCTGTGCAGGAAGCGAGTGTATCACAAGCAGGGAAAAAAGCACCTCCACCTGAGCCAAGAAAACCAATTGATAGATCGGAGTCCACATCTGTTCCTGTTGATTTGAAACCGAAAACTGCAAGTGCTCCAACCATTAGAACTCCTGCCCCCAAGAAACCTAAAGCCAAGGATCCTCACAAGCGTGACATGACTTATGAAGAGAAGCAGAGGCTGAGCAATAATTTACAGAGCTTGCCACCAGAGAAGCTTGATACTATTGTCCAAATTATCAAAAAGAGGAATTCGTCTCTTTGCCAGCATGATGATGAAATTGAAGTGGATATTGATAGTGTAGATGCAGAAACATTGTGGGAACTTGATAGGTTTGTGACGAACTACAGGAAGAGTCTCAGCAAGAACAAGAGGAAAGCTGAACTTGCTAACCAAGCTAAAGGTGAAACCGAGCTGATTACTCAGTCAATGGTAGGCCTCCTCGACTCTGCTATACTTTTCTTGTGGTGTAATCTTTTTGAACATGCTGTTTTGTGATGAAAATTCCTGTATCTTACTTTTCAGAATCAAATTCCAACTAGTGCAGAGTCACCTAAGTCCAGTAAAAAAGGTGTGGATGCCCTGACCAACTGTGGGTTATTTGAGTTTTGGATGTATGTGTGTGCATGTGTGCGCATCTATGCTCCAACATACATATAAATATCCTTGTTCTTGCTTTACATAGCCCATATCTCCCTAATGTTTGTTAGTTGCAGATGAAAAACATGATTCTGCATCACCTGTTGAAGAAGAGAAGAACATAGGAGAAGAGAAGAACATAGGGAATGGGAATAGGTCTAGTAGTTCAAGCAGCTCTAGTAGTGATTCGGGATCCTCTTCAAGTGGTACCTTCCTGACCCTCTTTGTCAGCTATTGATCACATGCAATAATTTTGGACTTTTTTCTGCCATATACATGCATTGATTTGATTTTTAAATTTATGTACTGTTGAACATTTAACATTATTATATGCTGAGACTAATGTAATTGGACAGATAGCGACAGCGAAAGCTCCTCGGCATTTGAGTCTGATGTGGCACGTTCACCCAGGACGTAATACAGATCTATTTGTAATGGGCATGATTGAATGAATGATGTAAGTTCAATCTGCATGATTTTATTTTTAAAATTGTTTATTTGTTACCTTGACATATTATTCTGGGATTTTCGGTTTAATAATAATACTTATATTTCACTTTTGGGCACTTCTATTCATGTTTTGAACAAAAATAATCATGCATGTGCACACCAACACTTCATTTGTCTGCTTTTGCAACTGTTTCAATTTGCTTTGCTTCATTCAACACCGAGTCTTTAACTTCATTGTTTATTTTGAAGTTATTGTACATTGATGATAGAATTTCATCCTTTATGCATTTGGAAGTGATATTCAATATTCCTTAACCTAGGATTAAGGGTTAGATAATTTTTTTTGTTTCTTTTTTAAATGTATTTATATAGATAGAGAACTTTAGACGTCCCATGAGTTGTGTTGTGTTACACTGTAACAAACTCATTCTTACGAAACAAGATGTTAGGTGCCTTTCTTAGACCAATGAGTTGGTAGAAATTTGCCTGTTTTAGAAGTTTCTCTACATTCATGCATATGTCCTATGTGGCATGGGAACCATTGTTACCTTGACACTTTTTGCCATGGGCTTTTGTAGTGTATCAACACTTAGACACATCGAATATGTCAAGACATTGCAGATTGCATGGGTATTTAAAAAATGTCCTTGGGCAGGTTCACCCAGTCACCCAAGGGGTAAAACATGATAGCTAGGGTAGTTTTCTAGCATCAAATAATACTGTTGTGTTTGTGATTGTTTTGTCTAGGAATCCTGGGTGATTTGTGTTATAAATTATGAGGATCACGTGGTCCTCTCACAAAGCCACCCTTTTGAACATGCTTCCTAGCATTGTTCAAAAAAACAGACCGCCCAGTGCCTAGGCGGTTCAGAAGACTTGGGCGCATTGCCCAAGCCTAGGCGACCAAACTGGGCAGTGGTCCTTGGGCGGCTGCCCAGACCTAAGCTGCTGCTCAGGGCTTGCGCCCCCGCCTAGAGGCGGAAAAGTACTTTTTTTTTTCCCGTCTTTTTCGAGAGATAAAAGTTTACAATGATGGGTTTTAGGTTCATTTGAAACCTAAACCCACAAGAACCCCTTTTAGAGATAAAGAAACCTCCAAAAAACTAAATTGGATCAAATCATCGAACTGTTTTTCAAAGTTTGGAGTTTGAGCAATCAAAGTAAGTGCATTTTTTAGATTGCTTGTTTTATTTTGAGATGTCTTCTTCAGGAGTTAGTTGGAGTGGTGATCCGGGTTGGAAATATGGATACAACTCTAATCCAAATGACAAAAAATGCGTTAGATATAATTTTTGTGAAAAAGGTACAAAAGGAGGCATAAACCGGTTTAAGAAGCATCTTGCCGGTATTAAAGGGGTTGTTGCCCCTTGTAAAAATGTTCTTGAAGCTATCATAGAGGAGATTGAGCAATTTATAAGTTACGTAAAACAAAAACATGACCACAATCCTTGTCATAGATCTATTTCTATTTCTGCTACTTCTAGAAGAATTATGTGTACAAGCCAAAACCAAATGATAAAAATTGTATAAGGTGTAATTTTTGTGAAAAAGATACCAATGGGGGTATTAGCCGATTCAAAAAACACCTTGCTGGTGTTAGAGGTAATGTTGCTTATTGTACAAAGGTTCCTGAAGCAGTTCAGGATGAGATTAGACATTTTCTGAATTTGAAGAACCATAAAAGGTGAAAATAAACCTTGTTCTATGGAAGTATCTTCTTCAGGTTATAACCCGAATCCAAGTGATAAAAATCGTATTAAATGTGGAAAGGATACTAATGGGGGTATTTACCAGTTTAAAAAGCACTTTGCCAGTATTAAAGGGGATGTTGCCTTGTGTAAAAATGTTTCTGAGGCTATCAAGGAGGAAATTGTACAATATTTGAGTTTAGAGAAGCACAAAGAAAAGAGTAGAGCAGCCAAGACTCCTAGGACCTCATTTGCACATACTGCACATACTAGTAAGAGGAAGGTAGAAGAAGAGGAGGAAGAGGCAGATTAAGAAGAAACAGAGGAGGACGAGCGTTATATTGAAGAGGGAGATGACTCTGATGATGATGGCCTCGACTCTGATGCATATGATGAGGCTTACCTTATTGATATTCCCTCTGATCATGATTATGACGACGCCTGAAGACTCTTGCCTCTTGGTGCTGAGTGTTGAGTCTGTTAACGGTTGTGTTGAGTCATGAGTGTTGACTTTTGTTAGATTGTATATTTTTTAAATTTCTGTATATTTTTGTTGTATTGAGTGTTGACTTTTATGTCCTAAACTTGTATGGTTTTACAGTTTACTGTTTTAACAATATGGATTATCAAAATTCTCTTTTTGACGCCTATTTTTTTTTTCAACTTGGAATATGGTATATTGGTAATTTGGTATGTTTTTTAGTTTTTTTCAACTAGGCAGCCGCCCAGGATCTGGGCGCATGCCTAGGCGTTGGGCGGCCTGGACCCCCCCAGGCCACCTAGGACACGCCTAACACTTTTTGATACACTGCTTCCTAGTCTTGCCTATGTAATTTTCATCTCATCAACATTCTATAGCCTCACTTATTTTATTTCCTTGTGAGTAGATCTTTTTATTTGATGATTTTAGCCTAAGAGAAAATCTAGTAAATAAGAAATTGAAATTGGCCTGGTAAAATTTGTTTGGCCACTTGTTCAAGTATGATGCTTGGAAGGCATTATATGGCAAAAGGAATAACTTAAAAGCATTTCTTTTATTTTTTATTTTCTTCATCATGAACAATTTTATTAGAAGTCAATAAGCCACAATAAACACAATACGATTATTAATTCAGATCTTTAGGACAAGCTTTCATATTTCTGCTCTTTTACTGTCATTGGGTCATGCCATGCATGAGAATTTAGCACTAAATATTTTTTTGGGAGAGTAATACACAGAAATTTTGGTTTAATAGGTTTAGCTGAGTTCTGTCTTTTAACAATCTTTCTGTGATGGGCCTTTTATGTGTATAGGATTATAATTCTAGAAATGTGGTTCTAAGATGTCTGATGCCTGTGAGGCCTTGGAATGTTGTTATTGTGTAATCCTTCTAAATTAGATGGTTGGTTGGTTTGTATTCCGAGTCCTGAAATTTTTCTTTTAGTGTATGATTGGTGATGGTCTCAGGGTTCTCTTCTTGTTCCTCCCCCCTTCTAAGACCTTAAAATTTGATAAGCAGGTCTTTTCTCAACCTGTTAATGGATCCTGCACTGACCCAATCCATGTTGTTGGAGATTGTTTGGGGTTCAAAGTTATTTGTAGTTAGTTGATCAATGGAAAATAAGGATTTTTGACATGGGTTATTTTGGTGCCATGGGAGTACACTTTGAATAGTTTAAAGAGTAGGAAGCTTTATGAGGTTATATGGCTTGAGGAGTTGAGCTATATGAAGTCAGGATGAAGTGAAATGAGAAAATGGTAGTAATTGAGTTGGGAAAGGTGGTGAGTTCGTTGGATAGTACTTGGTCGTCAAAGTCTAGGGCTTATTGGATGTGGGAAAAATAATGGAGGTTATGGATCTGGAGTTGCATGTGGATAACTGGTATTGTTGCATATTGCAGTAATTGTAAAGTTGATTGGTTGCAAAAACTCTTGGTGTTCAATATTTCAAAGCCTCAGTAAACTACTTAAAGACAGTGATAATTCTCTTAAAGGAAATATGCATGTCTCATTATTGATAGTGCAAATTTGTGGGCAACTGTTGCTGTCAAACCATAAAAAATTGGTGCCATGGTCTGATGTGGATGCAACATTTCTATCTGATGTACTTCTCTCTGTCTCTTATATTTGTAACTTTCTTTTCAAATCCCAAGAAATGATAGTAAACTTAAAACGCAAAAGTTTTATTATAGGCAACACTAATAATTCTTACATAGGCAGGGCAACAAACAATCTCCCATATTATTAACAGGCAAAGTTCAAGACATGCCTGGCCGTACTACCTAGAAGTTTTACGTTAGAAATTCTTGAAAGGAAAATTTGCATATAAATCCCATTATAAGATTTATATTTTTTAAAATGAGTCACATACTTTGTACATCATGCCTAGGTCCCATTTTTTTGTTATCTTTTTATCCCAAAAATATCCAGGTTTTAGGGTTGAGGGTCTAGGGCCCATTGTTTTCTTCATTCCTATCCCAAAATTATGCCTCCCAGTGTCCGAATTATGGTAATGTTTTGGGAAAATTACTAAAACCCCGTTTGACTCAACTTTCTTAACATTGTCCGCCAACAACTTTTTAAAACACTAAAAAAATCCCAGTATTGTTTTCTTTTGCAACTACCCCCCAAATTAAAAAATGTACTTTTTTTGGACCAAAATACTCCCATTTGATCCATGTTTACAACACCCTTTTGTCTCTCTCTTTTGTGCTTGATCGAAAGAGGAATTCGTGCTGCTCCAGTAAAAAAAATGTGCCGGACCGACACAAAAAATGTGCCGGACCGGTCTTGCACATTAATTTCATAGTGGTGGTTTGGCAAGCAGACCAAACAATGTGTCCGGTCCAGCACAAAAATGTGCCGGACTGGTATGGCACATTGATTTCATAGTGCTGGTCTGGCACTAGCTCTTGAAGCCAGTTTGGCAGTGTTTTGTGCCAGACCGGCATTATGAAAACATGGGTATAACACTGAGAAGGGTATTTTAGTCATAAATTTTTGACCTTTTGATTGGGGGAAAGTGCAAAAAGAAAACAATATTGGGTTTTATTTAGTGTTTTAAAAGTTGTACGAAGGGGGGATGCCAAGTTCTTAGAAAGTTGAGTTGAAGGGGGGCTTTAGTAATTTTTCCTAAATTTTTAAATTTCTTTTATTTTTGTATGAGTGAGTGATGGGTTTGGGTGCTCTGCTGCACTTATGTTTTCTTGCAAGTGGTCAGTTCGGATATCCAATTTTCAAACCCGTGTCCACTTAAAAAAATCTCAAGTGAGGTTCCGATGTTGGTTGCCTGAACCCACCCACTTATGTTCTTTTAAATAGGAGATGGGTTCATACACC